AATACATTTTTTCTGAAATTTTAGAGATTGCTCGATCATATCCGTAGTGATATTAAGATTCTCCACATTTCCGTCATTCACGTCCAAGCTAGCAATCTGCATTTTAAGTAGCTGTTGTTCAATATCGGTAAGTTTGTCGTGATTTACAGATCTAAACTTAGAACAGTGTACGTGCAACGCTGTCTTATGGTATTTATTAACAATGTTTACGTTAGAACCGTATTCTATGAGAGTCAGAACGGCTTCATACTGATTGGCGCAGGATGCCAGATGAAGTGCAGTGTCACCATCCTTATTTATGGAATCGATGTCAACGTTCGAATTAAAGAGAATTTCCATGATACGTATTCGACCACATCCAGCAGCAAAATGGAGCGGTGTCTGGCCTTCTACAGTTTGCACGTTGACATCGGCACCATATTCTACGAGGATTTGTACGATATCTTCATGTATGTTCAGAATGGCTTGGTGCAGTGCCTTCTCCCTGTGTCCCTTCTTAGTGGCTAGGAGCAGTGCTGTTTCTTCATACTGGGTTGGAGGATTCACGTTAACTACGCTTACAAGTAGATCCTCACAAATTAGTACTAATTCTCCTCCTATGGCATAATGGAGCGGTGTCCGACCACTCTCAGTTTTCAAATTTACATCGGCACCATATTCTACGAGGATTTGTACGATATCTTTGTGTATCATCTGAACGGCTAGGCGCAGTGCCGTTACACCATATTCGTTTTGAGCATCCACGTCAACTCCGCTTTCGAGTAGCACCTCGCAGTATGCTTCTAGTCCTTTTCTTGTAGCATGATGAAGCGGTGTTTCGCCCCTCGAATTTTGCAAGTTGACATCGGCACCATGTTCTACGAGGATTTGTACGATATCATTGTCTCCCTTGTTAATGGCTAGGCACAGTGCCGTTTCTTCATATTCGTTTTCAGCATCCACGTCAACTCCTCTTTCGAGTAGAAACCTGCAAGTTTCTTTTAGTCGTCCTCGCGCAGCAAAATGAAGCAGTGTGTTGCCCTCTTTAGTTTCTGAGTTTACATCGGCACCCTGATGTACGAGAATTTTCACGATATCTTCGTGTCTCTCCTGAATGGCTAAGCGCAGTGCCGTATCTCCATCTTTGTTTACGATATCTACGTCAGCTCCTCCCTCAATCAGCAACCAGAGAATTTCTTCTACTCCTACACGCGCAGCAAAATGAAGCGGTGTCTCGCGCGATCGATTTTGCAAGTTGACATCGGCACCATGTTCTACGAGGATTTGTACGATATCTTTTTGTCTCATTTGAATGGCTAGGTGCTGTGCCGTTTCTTCATATTCGTTTTCAGCATCCACGTCACCTATTCTTTCGCACATGGAGTTGAAAATTTCGTCTACTCTTGCTCGCGCAGCAAAATGGAGCGGTGTCTCGCCCGTTTGAGTTTGCAAGTTGACATCGGCACCATGTTCTACGAGGATTTCTACTATATCTTTATGGCTCTCCTGAATGGCTAGGTGCAGTGCCGTTTTTCCATCTGGATCTTTAGCATCAATGTTAGCACCTCCTTGGATTAGCAACTTGCAAATTTCTCTTTGTCCTCCTTCCATAGCAGAATGCAGCGGTGCCTCGCCCCTTCGAGTTTGCAAGTTGACATCGGCATCATGTTCTACGAGGTTTCGAACGATATCTTTGTGTCTCTTCTGAATAGCTAGGTGCAGTGCCGTTCTTCCATTTGCATCTGTAGCAT